ATCAATTAATTACAGCTATAGTTACTTTAGATATAAAATTAATCTGTTGCAGTAACTTTTTTTTGCTAAAATATATTGGTTAATATTACGGTCTCAGATATTATTACATCAGGCTGGTACAGGTAAAAAAAATCAAAATATCGATATAATATAAACTTTTATACCAGGTATATCCGTCGATTACTCGGGTAACCTGCAAGTTCACCTGTCGGGTAACCCGAGTAGTATTTTTTTGATCAGGTACAAACACTAATGCGTAAATACTAGTAAGATACAATTCACATTTTTAGTAAAAATGTGAATTGTATCTTACTAGTATTTGCGCATGTGATTTGCTTGTTCGCATTTTGCGCACCTTCGGTGCTTAAAATCAACTAATCAAATCACATTTTGCAAATACCACAGTTATTCGGCACTTCGTGCCTCATATTTGTCTTGCGAATCATTTCGATTAACTAATGATATTTTTGCAATATCACGAGATGATCTACAAAAATAGTCAATTACAATGAAAGCCTGCTATGCTTGACTAGGGTACTCATTTTTATGCAATCGTAACGTTAAAGTATAATAGACATATTGTAAGTACAAATATACATATTAGATATATAAATCACGTTAATCATAAATTGAAATACAGTACGTATAATAATATAATATCGTAATCAAATTTCTAAATTGTAATACTATATTTCAATTTACGTTTTACATATCAGATATGAATATTTGTACTTACAATAAGTTCTTATATCTTTTATACTTATGTTTTTAATCCTATAAAAGAAAATCAATTTTATAAGTTATATTTACTATCTTTTTTTTTTTGCAATGTGGAATATCGCCCAGGTTCAATTTTTGGTTGACCAACGAAAAGAGAGAAATGTAGAATTTCATTCTCTTAAAAGGAAGGCACCTTTTTGGGACGATGTCGCACAACGGATAAATAGATAATTTAATACAACATTTACAGGGAACCAGTGCAACGATAGGTTCCTATGTTTGGTTCGAGAATTCAATGTACGTAACTTGTTTTGGTTAATTATATGCATCAATTCGTCTACTAATATTATTCTATTTTTTTGTTTTACTAGTTAATGGTGAAATATCGCAACAATGAAGGTGGTAAAAGCACCTTTTATGGAAGGTTGTATTTTGACGAATTTAGAACATTCTTCTGGTTGCGGCCAGGTAAAGTTTTGTATTCATTTTAAATTTTTTTTTTTTTTTTTTTTTAACTTAAATTATTAAATAGTTGTACGATTTTTTTTTTTTTTTCTTTAGATGATATAAATGACCACGAGCACAGATTAAACATGTCGCATAGACGTTTGAATCAGCAATTACCTCTACCTCCTCTACCTCCTCCACCACCTCCACCACCTCTAGCAATTCCGACATCTCAACCATCTTCACAAATTTCTGCCCCACCAACTTCGGCTTCAGAAACACCAGCTTCTTCACGAGAGTCTGCTCCTTCTCCTTCTTATAATAAAGTGATGAGATTAAATCACATTTTAGAATAATCTTTTTTTTATTATATATTTTTTTTTTTATATTTTATTTTTTTTGTATTTTATTTTTTCTTTTTAGTGTATATTTTCCTCTGCTTAATAAAATCTCTTTAAAAAAAACTGTCTTGCTAGCCATAAGTAATAATTACAGACATTACAAATTACAACCAATACTCAAAGTTGTAAATATGCTGTAATGGTTATGATTGTAAATGCCATAATAGGTTGTAATTATCATTAAGTAATTGTGTCTTGCACGTCCTTACAGACGTGTAATAGCTTACCAAATTTAATGATAAATAAGTACATGTAAACGAAAATCGACTCTTATATTTTACTCTAATAATTTATTGAGATATTTTAGCTGCCGAAGATTAACAACTCTATTAAAATTAGGGTTGCGGTCTAAACCTCTTTTTTGAATTACGACACTACTACATAATTTGGGTTTGGGAATTGGGATTTCTACTTAATTTGGGTTCATAACCAAAACCCAAACATATGTCCTATTGAGATTAATAGTATCAAACTCGGAACCAGTCAAATTTGTTTAAATTAGCTACTAGGATTGAAGCGAATTTATGAAAAACCCTCAAATTTTAAAAATTTTGACACTGATAGTGAGTCAATTTACTGTATGTATATACTGTACATAGCGATAGAAGGAAATGTTACAATTAACTACAGTATTTATGATCAATATAAATCATGCTATCATAACTTGTACTAGACGTATATAAAGTTTAATTGTTTTTTAATTATACAAATTATACATCTAATTTTGGAGTATCAAATAAATTTAATGGTTAATATGGGTTAGATAGTGGGGAAGATGGATTAAATGCGTTATTATTCTAAGTTAGAAGATTATAGTGAGATCAGATGATGATGAGATTTGGGTCTTCTTTTGAAAACATAAACCCTACTAAAATCTATTTGTGCTCTTTTCTAAATAATTCTAATTCTAAAAGCCAAGAAAATACATCCCAAAAAATTTTAAAATTTCATATTAAAATAGGTCCAAATCTCACTATAATTCATGATATTTGACCTTTAGGAGGGCCAGAGAACGTGTTTTCTTTAGGGAAGAGGGGTCTTTGTAAAAAGAAATGTCTATATCAGAAGGAAGAGGTTAATTTTGTTGAAATAAAAAACACGTGTTTTCTGGTACTCCCCTTACAGAAATGAATCCCAAACTCAATTTTTACATGTAAAAATTTGGGATTTTTAACCGTAATATATATTACATGTCAAAAGTGTTTGACATTACGGCAAATCAGAGGCATTTTGCAAAACCTAGTAAATACTATTTGGGTTTTTATCTAATCCCAAACTAGTAAGTTTGGGTCGCAACCATAATTAAAATTGAATTAATTGATTAATGCTTTATTATCATATCAAAAAAAATTAGATCTCACAAATAATTGCTATATTTCTATTTTTTCAATTCAAAACCTTTATATAAATAGCTCTTTTTAACTACGTAATATAATATTCTGTATTAATACTAAATAAACAATATTTTACTAATCTAATAATCAGTCCATCTGATCCAACTCTAAATTGTCTTATTCGGTCTTAAACTGTGGTTTAATTCAGTCTTTTTAAAAGACCACCAGTTTTTAGACTAGACTGAACCAAATGGATCAATTAATAGCCCTAGCCCTAATGGCTTAGAATAAAAATTTACAGGACTAATATCTTGGTTCTACAAAGTTACGAAGCTATTATAATTTTTTTTACATTTAAATGTAAAAAAAGAAATTTGTAACTTTACATAGCAATAATATTTCGACCCATTTATTTAAGCTTTTTCGAGTATGCAAGGTTTTGAAATCTGTGCTTTCATGTACTTCTGTCTTGGCTGTACATCTATTTTTACTAAGAATTCGAAGATACATATTATATTATAATTTTACATAATATATATACCCCATCAGTATCATACTCAATGATTGGAAACAGATAATTACAATGTACGTACTAGCAGGATTATTAATATAGTGCCTTCTTTTCCCAAGTTGTAAAAGCAGAAATGATACCAATAAATTTAATATATTATTCACATGACAACATTGTTCGAAGTGAAGTGGCTAATGGATCCTGTTTTCTTAGTGGTTATGTAAACATAATTACTTAATTCAGCGATAATGATAAGATAAAAATTTTCACTTAAACGTAATAGCTGTAGTATTCATGCACAGAATCAGAACGCTCTTTTAAAGATAACAATATACAAGCTCTTTAAAGATAATAATATACAAAATTGATGTCAAATGATATGTCCTAGTAGGCTCAGACGTCAATTTATATACTCAAGTCGAGCTCTAACCAATAGGAAGCAGATGGGTTTTGGCTGGAACAGATAGGTTTAACGCATGTTTTTGCATAATCATTATATCCTTTAAAATTATTTAAGGTATAGTTTGGAAATATTAGGGTATAATCGAGTAATTGTTCTGTACATTTAACCAATTAAATATGGAAAAATATGGGGTTCAAATTAAATTTTGATGCCCCTAGCTAAGGTCAAATTCCGCTGATTCGCCCATATGATATATAATTAGAAGATCGATAAAAGATGATAACTTTATTTATACGTATAATAAAAAATATAATAACGATAAAGAAAAAAAAAAAATTTATAATAAAATAAAAATATATAATTTTTTATATTATTTAATTTACTATTCTAAGATTCCAGCCTCTAACCAATTTTTCAGGCACAAAGAAGCTTTTATCTTCTGTTTGAAAGGGTAATTCTTTGTAAATTTAATGGTATCAGAAAGTGCATGCTAACAAGATCTGCCAGTAACTTGCATTGCAAATAAGTCTGCTACTATAGATACTACAGTTGGAAAACAGTAGGCATTATATTTCTACCATGAGAGTGGTTTGGCATCTGGTTCATGAGGTTGAGAAAGGTAAGATTCAAATTCAGTTTCTGGTCCTGATTCATTTCCCCCGTTTTCACTTGTTTGAACTATTATTTTTCGAAAGGTTTCTAAAGAATCTAAGTTAGAATTTATCACTAATTTATTTGTTTTATAGTATAAATAGAAAGTTTTTAATCTCTGAGTAGATAATTTACAGTCAAGACTATCTGCAAAAGTTTCAAACTTAGTTGACAGGTCGAGAAGAGCAGGATTGTGGAGAATTGCCAAAAGTGAGTCCAATAATCCTTTAAAATATTTTTCACACTTTTGGCTGCTTCATTATCCAAAATATATTGACTGAGATGTGATATAAGACCCTCAATGATTACTCGTAAGGATCCATGAGAGGGTTGTGAATCATTTGATAAGAATGATACTGCTATATAGAAAGGTTTAATTAATTGGATTATTTTTTCTATTATTTCTAAATCACTAAACTCTAAGTAATCTTCTCTTATATTCGGATGAGAGCTTATAAGACCGTCAATAGTGCCCTGGATTTCAATAAGGTGTTCGAGTATTAAGTAAGTAGTATACCATTTTTTTTCATCATCAATTTTAGGTTGGAGGAATAGAAGGTTAAGAGCAAAAGAAATTTTTTTCATCTCCTCCAAAAGTAATAGAGATTTTTTAATTTTGTTACAGAAATGATGTGCTTTGTTAATTTGATTAAGATAATTTTTTGATATTCTTCAATAGCAAGACCAATAGCATATGTTGCACAATATGCATATTTGAAGTCAAGATTTATAGATTCTTGAAGATAACGTAAACAAGGTAAGTCAGTTGATATATTATCTCCTGTAAAACTGATCACTATTTCTTTTATTTCTAGATCTTCTACAAGCTTAAGAACATTTTCGCCAAGATAGTCACTGGTATAGGTATAGTTTAAAGGGATAATATCAAGAAGAAGAGTACGCATTGTCCATTCAACATCAACCCAATATATGGTGATTCCTAGGAGGGGTTGTTGAGTAAACATAGTCCATACCTTTAAGGATAAAGCTAATTTCCTTGGATTATCTTTTAAAAGATTTTTTATTTTCATTTTTTCTAATTCGAATTGTTTTATTAGATTTATAGAAAGCGTTTCGTTATAAGGAATCTCATAGGATGAATTAAGGTTGGAAAATAGCCTAACAAACGTGTTCTCTTTAGTTATTGAAAAAGGCTGTTGGCTGAGAACAAGCAAACACAATAAATCATGGTCCAACAATTCGGTACAATGTTTTTCAGCAGTTGAGTATAAAGAACTTTCACATGTCTTGCAGAATTTAAAGATTTGAGGGTTATTACTAAGTTCATCTAGATATTCTTGAACTCTTTTTCTTTTTGATCATTCATAATGGTAATCAGTTTCAATGTAATGCGTTCTACTAAGTGAATTTTGAGTGTTTTCAAGAGAAAACACTGCAGAAGAGTCTTCAAGCGAGTAAGGTGTTGACATGATAATTGGTAATTTAGAAGAAGATATTTGTAATAAGTAAATTAATGAATGGGCAAAGGAAGGTGAGTAACTTTATATAACTATTCACGACTTAAAAGTGCTATTTTACTAATTTTTTTAAATTATATTATTTATTTTTTATTTTTGGTTTATGTTATCAATTACGTATTACAAAGTACAAAGAATCTCCAATTGTCTTTTCTCGAGATTAGATTGGAATCTTGAAACAATGTGTGTCTAGAGAAGCTATGTGTTTATAAAAATAATTTTCTTGTATGAACTATATGCTTATCGCTGTTTTCAAATTATTGCGATAAGCAAACTTTGTGAATTCCATGAATCCTGCATTTTACTATTGTTTTAACAATAGTAAAATGCAGGATTCATGGGATTCACAAAGTTTGCTTATCGCACTAATTCGAAAACAGTGATAAGCTAAACAAAGATATGTATTTACAAAAAAAAATTAATAGGATATGCATCTATAGAACATATATTTGAAGAGTTCTCTGTATCTACAATTGCAGAATTTTAATTCAAAAGAACAAAAATCTTGAATATTATTATTACAAAAACCGAATATATTACTTGTATGCTTTTTTATTAAAGCTTTAAATTATTTTAATAATTTTAGTTTTATTAAGAGCTCATTATTCAACGATGTCATTGTTAGATCTAACGATCCTTTAAATATCATATTCTTTATTTAGATATTTTATAAAGATTATACTGTACGAATGAATATATATTCATATATCCAATATGAAATATACATTTGAGTATAAATTAAGGTTTTCCTTCGATAGGTCATCATAACGAACTTCAATAAAAAGCCAGTGGTCAATCTAAAGTTTGAAGATGGCGTTCAATCAGTTTCTAGTATCTTTAAATAGTTAAGAGCTTTCTAAATAGTCGAGCACGTTAACTATAAATACAGTAAATGAAGTTTCTATGTAGAGTGTCTAGACGTCCAGAATTATACGATTTCAGTAGTGTTTTATTGTTAAACAATAAAAATACTAAAATCATAATCCGAATACTATTTCTATATTTAGAAATATGATAAAATCTGTAGAAAAATGAGCTCTTTTCAGCGGTGTGTATTGTATAAATAAATTTAAAGTATGTACTATAACAATTGCTTGATATAGTTATATAACTAAACAAATAAAAGGTTTTCTACCTTACTTTATTAAGCGATTGTTATAGTACACTCTCCAAATTTATTTATACAATATATACTGCTGAAAAGAGCCATGCATGAATAAAACTGATTAAATGATTAATGAGGGGAATTCTTAATTAGAGTGTCCAGACTCATGTGATTTAAAAAGCATTTTTATGCAATATACAAAAATTTGAGTGAAAGATAATTTTGTTATACATTGTATGCGCCTAAAATGTAATCGCATGAGTCTGTATATTCTACTAATTAATAATAATAATTTTATAATATTTATAATTAAATATAGGTGACATTAATTACACCGACGTCTAGCAATATTAGTCAAACGTTTAAAAATAAAGTGTCCAGAAATATAAAGTAGTGAAATCTTTTTATAGTTATTATAAATAGTTTTTTTATTTTTTATTTTTATTATTTTTTATTTTTATTATTTTTATTTTTTATTTTTATTAATGAGTCTTATATATTCTTATATCTTAGGATAGCCTTAATAATCATTATTTGGCCCAATTCATTCAATACACTTGGCACTTCAAGGCTCTTAAATGGCTAGACACATTAGGTGTAGTATATAAAGTTGAACGTCACATCAATGAAGTTTCCTTGTTTAGATAAAATGATTATACAAATAGTGTTAATTTTGTACGTATATATACTAAACTTTTGGTTGTTAATTGTTAATTGAGATTAATTTTAGAACTCATGCGAAAATTAATTTTTTGAGTTCTATTGCATTGTTAAATTTAAGGGAAAGATTATGATAATTGTTAGCATGCAAAATGCAATGCAGTGGTAATCTTTTTTAAATTTAAGGAATAGATCAGGATAATTGTTAATATGCAGAATACAATTCAGCGATAATTGTTAGCATGCAGAATGCAATGCAGCGGTAATATTTTTTAAATTTAAGGGATAGATCGTGATAATTGTTGACATGCAGAATACAATTAAGCAATAATTGTTAGCATGCAGAATTAGGGATATAATCAGTCCTTTAGGATCGAGTCCTAACAGATTCTTTCAAGGATTGGTAAAGACTTGGTCCTTAAGTCGCATAAAAACATAATACAATTTATATAATTTAGATCCTGGATCGAATTATTTAACAATATAGAATTAAATTGATTAGATGAACTTATTTAGAGAATCTAAATCCTATATAAATGTATTATGTTTTCATGTGATTTAAGGATTTGAGTTCAGGATGGTCCTAAAAGATCCTAGGACTGGATCGAACTGGACTCATAATTTAACATCTCTATGCAGAATGCAATGCGGTGGTAATCTTTTTTAAATTTAAGGGATAGATCACGATAATTGTTAGCATGTAGAATACAATTCAGCAATAATACGTGATTCTAAATTTGTTAATTAGTATGAAAGTCATGGTGATGTTAAACATTAAATAATTATATAGATCGAAACACAAAAACATCAATACGTATTATTGTAGCCTTAAATAATATTTATTGTATTATTATTAATTAAATTGTCAATTTCATTCTAATTACCAAAAGCTATTGTTAAATTGATGTATGCTTATTTAATCTAATTGTAAAAAAATAGTTGGGGCGAGGAACTAAAAAAATGAGCCAATGTTTACCGTTAGTGATTATGTTATATTTTTTTGGCGCGTCTTCTATTCATATTTTAAGATGCATCTTCATATTTTATCGCATGATTTTCGCTACAATTCTTGATCAAAGTTAATTTAAACATTAATTTCGAATCTAGGCAATTCACCAAAGCCCTATAATGATAAATGCTAACCCAAATAGTAATTTATAATGAATTAATACTAATACGTGTAAGTATCCTTATCATTGCAAGCTTATGGGCTGGTGCTAGTACTAGCGCTCTTATTAATGTAGCTTCTTGTAATAGACTCGAACAAATTTTGCCAGGATCGATGTACTACAGAGAATGTGCATCAAATTATAACATATACTTCAAACTTGTACAATTTTTAAATTCACATTTCATGCCTATTCTTTTTATGTTTTTTACAAAGCAATAATATATTATTATAGATCTTAAAGTTTTGGTTAAATAATCTACAATTATGGAAGTTTCATAGAATGAATAGGTTACAAAACAGTTCAAATTCAAAAACTACTAAATTATGTTTTTTTTTTTTTTTTTTTTATAATACGTGATTTATAAAATAAATGCCCTCGTAAGTAATATAAGTTCTCAAAAATTTTGTATAAAATCGCTCGGTTTTTTTTTTGCTTGTCTATCACTTTCGATAGTATTCTAGCTATCAATTAATATGTCTACTATTGAATCTGAAAATACTCAAACCCTTTCTGAAAGCGATTGCATTATCGAACCTAATAACCAAGTGCTTGTTAATGATACAGATCAAAATATTAGTCAGTTGAAAAAGAAATCCAAGAAAAAACTCGCTCCTGTTTATGAATATCTCGATGTATTTGGAGATGGAACTCGTGTTTGCAAAATTTGTGATAAAAGTAAAGGCATTGGTAGATGGGGTTCTCACACGTCGTTATCGACAATAACACGCCACTTTAAATGACACCACTATAACACCTTTAGAGAAATTCAAAAATCCGATAAAACACTTTCTCGCCCTTCTTTGTATTCAATTTTTGATAAGAATCGTGTAGAACTATTAGATCAGTGCTTATTAGAATTAATTGTAATTAGCCAACAACCTTTTTCACTCGTAGATGAGAATTGCTTTATAAAATTTATTACTGTCCTTGATTCACGTTATAAAATCCCCTGCCGCCAAACTATTTCTGAGGATATTAAAAATATATTTGAATTAGAAAAAATAAAAATAAAAAACCTTTTAAAAAATAATTCAAGTAAACTATCCCTTACCTTAGACGTATGGACTGCATGCACCCAACAGCCCTTTCTCGGAGTCACCATCCATTGGGTAGATATTAAATGGACAATGCGTACTATTCTTCTTGATTTCATCCCTCTACATGATGCTCACACTGGCGATTACCTAGGTGAAAAAATCCTTGAACTTTTAGAGAGATTTGAAATTAAAGAAAAAATAATCGGGTTCACAGGAGATAACGCATCAAATAATCAAACTTGTTTGCATTATCTTCAGCAACATATAAGCCTCGAACTTATATATGTGCATTGTGCTACGCATGTTCTTAACCTTATTGTAAAAGAAGGTCAAAAACTTTATATAAACCAAATAAAAAAAACACGACATTTTTGTAGCAAAATCAAAAACTCACCATTACTCATAGAAGATATGAAAAAAATATCAGCCATTCTAAATCGTCCCTATCTTTACCCTGAACTCGATATCAATACGAGATGGAATTCTACTTATCTCATACTTAAACGACTCATTGAAATTAAAGATATAACTGACGGCCTTGTTCAGTTACATCCTAATTTAAGAAATGAATATCTTGAATCCAATGATTGGAAAATAATTAATGATATATTAGAGCTTCTTCAACCCTTCTATAAGGCAACTTTGATACTTTCTGATTCTTCGTCACCTTCTCATGGGTCTTTAAGACTAATTATTCAAGGTTTTTTTGCGCATTTGGATCATTATATTCAAAATATTATGAATATTGTAAAGTAGCACAAGGGATGAAAACAAAATTAGAAAATTACTGGCCCTATCTCTTTCAATCTTCTCTTATTTCTGCACTCCTCGATTCATCAACTAAGTTCGAAACCTTTGATGAAGAGGAATGTCAGTTGGCTATAAATCAGCTGAAAATATTATATTCAATGTATACTATTGATAAGGTGGTCACACCCTCTAAACAAGAAAATTCATTAGATAGTTTTCGCAAATTAGTTAAATTAAACAAAACTAAAAACAAAACAGATTCGTTGACTAAAAATTTAATAAGTGAATTGGCTACCTATCTTGCATTACCTTCAGAACCAGATATTAACCCACTAGCATGGTGGAAAAATAATTCTTCTAGTTTTCCAACCATTGCTTCTATAGCAGCGGATTACTATGCACTTCAAGTCACGAGTGTTCCGTGTGAGCGTGCCTTTTCTGTCGCGAAGCACACGATTAATCTTACACAAAACCGTCTTCTTGAACAAACAACTAGAGCTTCATTATGTCTAAAAAATTGGATGAAAACTGGTATTTTAGAATAAACAAATAAAAATTTGTAAAAATTTCAAAAATGTAACTTATCTTTGAATTAAAGATTTACTCAGGTAATTGTTAGTTCAATGGTCTGTTTTATATTAAATGCTTAAAATATCCAATATCTAATTAATTATTAGATTAGATTTATCATTATAAAGTGTTAAAATTTTATAGTCCAAATACTTAAATAAACAAATATTTTTTATGTACAATTTCTACTTTGAATATTATTGGTAATATTACATATTGTGACCAAATGTCACATGAAATAGTGAGTTCAGTCCCAAGTCTGACTTAGGACCGAGTCCAAATTAAAATTCAACTCCCGAAGTCGAGTCAGACCGAACAGGACTTTTAACATCCCTATTTGTAGGTTATTATATATCCAAAAAAAAGTAGTCATTGCATCCAAAATTGATATTTCTTTAAATTTAATTTTAATTCAGCTTTTCTAATTTTTAAAAATACTTTTTTTAGATATTTCAAATGATTATTAAATGTTTGTGAATATATTATTGTATCATCAAAATAGATAACAACAAATTTCCATACAATGTTCTTATATACATAGTCTATTAGTTTTTAAAATATTGCAGAGATATTATATAGTCTAAAAAGCATGACATTAAACTTGTAACTTCTATATTGAGTTGTGAAAGCAGTTTTTTCTCTATTATCTAGATATATTTGTACTTGCTAATATCTACTAGTAAGGTCTAAGGTTGAAAACTATTTGGATCTAGCTAGAGTATTCAACTTTTTATCTATTTTTGATAAGAGATATGCATTTTTTTTGGTAATACTATTAAATTTCTAATAGTCAATACAAAATCATAACTTTTTATTTTCTTTTTAACAAATATTACAGATGAGGTCCAGAGGCTTTCTGAAGTATGTATCAGTTTGTTTTCTAACATCTTTTGTATCTCTTGTTTAATAAATTCTTGTTCATTTGTTAGTACTGAATAAGATTGTGATTATATTAAAAGTATATTTTCTGTATATATTTGATGAATAACTAAGTCAGTTCTACCTAGTTCATTCTTTCATTTGCAAAAAGGTTTGCAAATTCTGATAATAATTGTCTAAATAATTATTCTTGTTCTATTATTAGAGGTTCTATCTCTAGTTGTAGCTTTTTGTCTATAGTATAAATTTCTGTTTCAAATAAAAAACTTTTAGACTCTGTTTCATCAGGTAGTTTTTTATCCTACCTAGAATTCTCTAAAAATTTAATTCATTGGCTAATAAGATTAGTTGTTGGATTTGTTCATTAGCATATTGAGAATTATTAATTAGTAATTAGAGAAGTTATTAGTTAAGTTGCTCTAATTTCTGAACTTAGTCTTCTAGTTGTTAAATCTTTAAATTCTAGTCTGTAAGTTGAGATACTACTTGTTCAAGTAGCTCTTCAAGTTTTTCTTCTTCTGAATTTTTAGATATTTCTTTGATTTGAGTATATTCATTATAAGTTTCTTGGTTTCAGTTAAGCTTGTCTTGATACTGTACTATTAGATATTTATTGCAAAGATTAACTGCAACAGTAAAGCTTCTCTTTAAGTTAGCTATAGCAGCTTGTATATTAAAGTTAGGATAACTAATATTTATAGAATCTTCTAAGATTTGTTGTAGGATTATTTTTTCATTATCATAGAACATATCTCTTTTTGCTCTTAGTAAGAGTAATATTTCATTTATTGATTATTCATAATTTATTTGATTATAGATCTGGAGTTCAAGAGCTTCTTAAATAGTAAAATCACTTTTTTTAAGTAAAACTTTAGCTAGTCTAAATATTAGAGTTTGGTTAAGGTTGTATATATTTCTAGTATATTATATAGATTCAGTATAGTATTTAATTTTAGTTCAGAGATTATAGTTATTGTTATAAAGAATATTAGTATAGACTTTGTAGACATACATATGTTTTAGGTTACAGAACTATAGGTCTTAAGCACTACTATCTTCAAATAGCATTTGGGATCTAGGCTCTTCTTTTCTATAAACTTTATAATTAACAAGAGTTCTTCAGCCTTCACCTTGTTAGTAGAAATATATACTTTATAAGTTATCACAGTCTAGTTCTTGGTGAAAAGTAGTATAGCAGAGTTTACAAATTAATTTTTGTTCTAATTCAAATAGTCCTAATTCAAGTTAGGATATAGTATATTGATAGTAGTGAAAAACTCAATGATAACTATAGTATGAGGATCTCTATTTCTCAATAGCTTATCTATTATATCTATAAGCTAAGCTAAGGTTTTGTTGTTTAAGCTCTTTTATAGAATAATCTACTTTAAGATATTCTAATTTATAGCATCTACAGTAATGGTTTTGAGGATATTGCCTATAGGTATGATTACTTTGATTACAAGTTTTGCAACTTTCTCTTTTGGATACTTGGTCAGAGCAAAAGGCAGCAATATATCTTTTCTGATTACATCTTTAACAAATATTTTTAGAGCTACTTTTAAAGAAATAGTCTGTTTGTCTACAGACTTTACAAGGTTTATAGATATAAGGGCATTTACATAGTAGTTAAATTTGCTAGCTTTAATTATCATTAATTACAAAAGCTTCTCTTACTTCAAAAGAATAAGATTCTTTTGATGTCAAATATTCTTTATCAAAAATTTCTAACTCTTCAAAGTTTGTAATAGTTAGTTGTTTAGGCAAGGAGTAGTCTAATTCATAGGTAGTAGTAGTTGAGTATTTCTTATTGTTCTATTTAAATAAGTAGTATCGAACACAAATTATTAACTCTTTCTGTAGATCACTTATATCAAAACTTCACAAAAACATTTTAATATTTTACTAAGTAAACCACTTTTAGGCCACTAAGCAAAATTGTTCTACACAAAATTCTGCTTCAGTAGAGTCTAGTTTTATATCTTTTAGACCTAAACTTATAGAGATATTTACTTAAATAATTAATATAACACTTTTATTATTATCTCTGAATTTTACTATGACAACAACTCTTGGTCACTAAAAGAGTTTTGTCTAGCTCTCTCTTAGCTTTATACACATACAAATTTTATAAAAAACGAACAAAAACTCATCAAATTACTAAAGAAAAACTTATTTGAGATTTTTTCTAAAAATTTAGAAAAATAAAAATTCTTTTTTCTTTTTTCCTCTCAAATCCAAAACTAAGTCATATGACAACCAACCAAAATTTATTGGTTCACCCAAAAATAGCACTAATTGCTAAAATTTCTATTTTAAACTTTTATCAATTAAACACAAATTAATTACTTATATATTTGTACTAATTCTAAATTAGTACAATGTAATAATAAAAGCTTACTATTTTTAGCTTAGTGATATATATCAGGCTTTGTACTATACTAGCTATACTAGCTATAAGCTACACTAGCTACTATATAGGTTACACAACTAGTATTATATAA